TATTGGTGGTTAGGTAGCTCTTGACAGAGGGGCAAAACACATCAACAGCCCATTCATTAAAGAACTGTCTTGTCACCCATGCCTTACAGTTGGACTTCAATAAACTCCAAGCATTGTTCTTACCACTTTCTGTTGCTTGAACACCCTGGGGTTTTCAGAGTGGTAGACAAGCATAGGCTTCAGTCGGAAATCCCCTGAAGCATTGGCACCAAGCAATAGAGTGAGACGGTCTTTCATGGGTTTATGCCCAGGTAAAGAGGCTTCATCCTTGGTGATGAATGTTCTTTTGGGCATCTTTTTCCAGAACAGCCCAGTTTCGTCAACATTGAACACTTGCTGTGGAAGATAATTTTCTTCTTCCATCAGTTTATTAAATTCAATTAAAAACTTTGCTGCCCCTTCTTTATCAGCACTAGCAGCTTCACCATGCCTAACAACACTTAAAATGTCACTTCTTTTCTTAAATTTTTTGAACCAGCCTTTGCTAGCCCGAAAATCTTCAAATTCTGTTCCTGAAGAACCAGGTTGATCTGCCTTTAAATGTTCATAAATCTCCCTGGCTCTTTCACAAATGAAATCACCAGAAACTGAATCACCTTTCATCTGTTTTTCCCTAATCCAGATGAGAAGTAACCTCTCAGTTTCTACGATTAGGAATCTACTTTTAAACACTCTTGTAGATTTGTCTCTCACGTTCACTTCCTTAAATTTGTCTTTTTGTGCAAGAATTGTCGACACAGTTGATGCCGACATGCCATATTCTTTGCATAGCGCATTTGATTTAATACCTTGTTCGTGTTTTTTTATTATTTCCTGCTTTATTTGGATTGAAATCGCTTTTCTTGATCTCTTAGGCCCCATGCTGGATTCAAACAATGGCAACACGTATTTTTCAAAGTTAAACTAGCTGTAAATAAAGAATGTTTTCTTTAAAATAACACTGCACTGCACTATATATTGTCAATATGTAAAATAATTTTCAAAATGACCAATAATTTGCTTGGAAACCCAGAAAAAAAGCGTTTAGTTGAAGAGTCTCAAGCAAGATGTTACCTCCAGTGAAAACAGAGAGACTGACGCCTGTTTGCTGTGTTAAGAGGCTGGATGCCGAGCATTAAACTAGTCACTTTACCTTCAATTTTGCTCAATAATTGTTAAAACGACTAAAAAATTGAATATTAAACTTTTAAAATTATTGAATAGTATAAACTTCTTGATATTTACTAAAATAGTAAGGAATTTAAGCCCTAGAACCGATTAATGTATTGGCGGACTGATAATAAAGCTGGTTGCCCGGTCAGTGCAAGCGAAAACATGTTGAGGTCGGTTCGTAAGAAGTTCGTTAAGCGAAATTTTTTTTTGTTAACCGAATTGAAGATCCTTATGGAAGGCAGTTCGTTAATCGAAATTACGTTAACCGAGGTGTTCGTTAAACGAGGGGTCACTGTATATATATATATATATATATATATATATATATATATATATATATATATATATATATATATATATATATATATATATATATATATATATATATATATATATGTGTGTGTATATATATAAAATATATATATATATATATATATATATATATATATATATATATATATGTATATATATATATATATATATATATATATATATATATATATATATATATATATATATATATATATATATATATATATATATATATATATATATATATATATATATATATATATATATATATATATATATATATATATATATATATATATATATATATATATATATATATATATATATATATATATATATATATATATATATATATATATATATGCATACAGTGATGCCTCGACACATAGTTAATGAATAAAGCAACTAAGGTGCTCCGTGTTCCTTTCGTGTGATTTTATCAAGATTTATCTTATCACATTTTCATTGAGGATATATATATATATATATATATATATATATATATATATATATATATATATATATATATATATATATATATATATATATATATATATATATATATATATATATATATATATATATATATATATATATATATATATATATATATATATATATATATATATATATCCTCAATAATGTGGATAAATCTTAGAAAAACAACAATTTCTTCCTTTATTCAAACATCTTCAGAGGCAACTGGATTACATGGACGAGAGGCTTAAATATACAGGTGACCTTATTAAACATGAGGTCAGGTCATATGATGATGTCATCCACTAATCCCACACCAACACACCGTAGGAGCTTAAGAAGAAGGGGGTGGCGTGACTAGTCAGGTCAGGTCAAGAATAAGGGACCCACTAAATAACTATCCTACATCTAGATCAAAGGTTTTCAGAGCATTTTTAACCTTGGGCCACTGACAAATAAGTTTATGTAACATATTATCAGTTTTGAACTGACCATCTCTAAGGTTTATTGATTTTAATTCCTTAATCAAACTAGCTTCAACCAGAAGTCTTTCTGTGACAGAAGATGATTTAAATTTTTATATATATATATATATATATATATATATATATATATATATATATATATATATATATATATATATATATATATATATATTGTGTTGTATATACTGTATGATCATATGGCAGAAAATTATTTAAGTTAAAATACAGTAGAAGTCCAAAAATCTGGACTGCTTGGGGATTGGATCGGTCCGGATTTTCGGATTTTCCGGATTCTCAGGCAGTACTTTTAAAATTCAAATTTAAGGAGGAATGAAGAAGAGATGAACAGGTACATTTTGATACTTAATTCATTAGCAAATATAGCATGCTTCATTTATCAAAACGAGCAGTTTTAAAGAAAAAGCTGTGAATTCTAGAATTTTATTCTTTGCCTTTTTTATATCATAAATTGTAGACTTTCCAATGTCGTATGTTTCCATTAGAACAGTATTGCTCACACCACGTTCTAGTTTCTTAATTATTTCAAGTTTGTCACTCAATTTCGTCGTGTTCTTCTTTCTCTTCACACAACGAAGTTTATCTACTTTAGGAGCCATTATTATGGGCTTGAACAGTACTCTGTAAATGGAAAGAGTAGGACTCAAAATTACATACGTTGTCACAGTTTGATTGCTGGTTTTAAAGTGGCGACCGTGTGGTCGCTTATTGTCGCTTTGCAGCTGTGGCGCTCACGCATGCGCACATATACACAAAACCCAGCTAAAAAAAAAAGAGTTTTCGAAAAGTCCGGATTCTCGGGTGGTCCGGATTTCTGGCATTCGGATTTTTGGACTTTTACTGTATGTCAGTTATTTCTAACCCACCTTGTTATTTTCCTGCCTCATCTTTTCCCATTCATTTATGAAAACATTTTTTGTAAGTTTATTCTTCATACTACATTCTTTCATGTTACTCTCTCTTTTAATTACATTTTCCATTGTGCACGTCCCTTACTTATTTCCATCCATTTGCAAATTATATATATATACCTTATATTATATCATTCCTGTTATTATCAACACATTGTTTGTATCATCACTTCATTGTACAGTATGGTTGAGATATATAGTAACTTTATATAACGATTTTTTAATATCGTGGCTACCAAAATTATCGACATTTTCCTATATACCTGTATAGTGATATTTTTTTTTATTTCGCGAGGGAAATCAGGTAGGAAATATTAAAATTTATCACTACTACGAAAATTATCAAAATTTTTCAATATATAGCGATAAATTTATTTACAGTAGACTCACAACTTGCATGGGGTTATGTTCCTGGGACCTCACATAAAGCAAAAAAACCTTATAAAGTGAGAAACTTTCCTAAAAATCCCTAAATCGCCCCAGAAATACAAGTTTAAATTGTTTTCTCTTGTGCAAAATATATGATGTCTATATTCAAATTATTCACGGTCTTGCAAGGATTCCAGCAATGCAATTTATATTCTAACTTTAGACTGTGCCATTTTATGTCAAGTTTATTCACTTTTATTGGCCTCCAGAACCTAGCTCTATTTTCCCCATTGATTACATGTAATTATATATTGCAATTTAGTAAATAGCGAACATCCTTGGACCCTATCTCACGATATATCCCGATCCTACTGTATTTTTTTAATCACTATATTCCTCTCCAATGAATATGTCATCTAATGGCACCATCGGTTTTTAGTTATAATATTGCATATTCCTTCTTCCTACAATTTTTCACGTTACCTCCTTCATTTTCTCATTGTTTTTCCTTGTTTGTATTTCACTGTAATCCTATTTCACTTGTAAACTGTCTGAAAACTATCATTCTAATTTAATAATACAGTTTTCACAGTACAGTTGAGTCTGGATTTACGCGGTTTTGGTTTACGCGTTTTGTCATTTACGCGGTGCCTTGCCAGAATTGAAATGCTTGATTTACGCGGCAAATTTGGTCATTTACGCGGGAAGCGGCGCGGGCAGGGTGCGCACAAGGTCGCCCAGTCATCAAAACATTACCGAGTTCTTCACCCACCACAGCCGGTCCAAGTCAGTGATAGTGAGGATATGGACTTATATGGACTTTGAGGGGTTTGACAATGAGGCCCTGCAAGCCTCTGTGGTGGATAGTGATACAATTGATACAGGTGATACAGGTGAGGGCCAATAATCTGCCCTCTGCCTCGGAACCAACCCCCATCCCCGTGTGCCCAGCCATCTTTTCTACTAATGTAAGTGTTAAAAAACCTAATATTGATATTTCTCTTAATTATTAATTGTGTGTGCATACCATCATAAAATTAAGATGTTATTTTGACTACAAGGTACGTATTATGTCGGAAAAAGTGGAGTTTGGGGGTCTGCCCAGTCTCTATTTCAATTAATTCCATATGTTTTGTTATTTCATTTATGCGTTTCTCGTTTTAGGCGCTACTCCACGGGTTCAATTGACCGCGTAAATGAAGACCCAACTGTACACAATAATGAAAATATTTTTAACTCTACCTATCACAATAAACTGTATTTTAATTTTCCTCAGATGCAATGGTGTTTGAGGATGCAGGTTCTTTAGGCTCAGCAGTATCTGGCCAACAGTCTCCTGAGCCAACTGATCAGTCCAAATCGTCCGCAGAAGATGGCGGAGGTAGTTCTGCTGGTAGCGTCTTAACTGGAGGTACTGTGGGTGTCACAAGGCCTAGTAGGAAAGAAAGTGGTAAAAAATTGTTACGGGAGCGTGCTTCAATGTTTTCCATGTCCAGGGTTACTTTACGATCTTCTCCCTCGACCACCACAACAGGCTCTGGTAGTCGAATAGGGAGTGGGGGGAACAACAGTGGGGTCACCGTCAATTCTTCCCCCTCCATCATTAGCCCCAAAACTACCAGCATTTTTACCCAGGATCCTACCTGTTCTTCTGAAATAAAGACAACTGCTGTCTCAGTGAACACAACTACCACCAAAGCCAACAGCAACTGTGGTACTAACAACAACAAACCATCTCGCCGCACCACCTCCCTACTCAACCTGTTTGTGGCGTCTACTTCCTCTGCCGGTATGTGGTTGGTCCATGTGCTCTTTGTGTTACTGGCTCTGTGGCAACACGTAGCACAATTATAATATCATTATTTCAGATACCAGTGCTGTTCATTATTTAACCTAAGAATGTTAATCTTGACTGTATTTCATAAGCACAATTATGAATGACATCCCTCTTTCATCTCCTGATTGTGTGTGTGTTTTCAGTTACGTAGGTTATATCAAGCAAATAGTTTACTAATTTTTTTTATACATGTATGTATGTATGTGTATGAAAGCTTGTTTAATAATAATAATTATAATAATTAATGGTCTATTGAAAAAGTTCAGCATCCCAAAGGCTGAATATATATAATGGACAGAAATGACTTATTAAGTACATTGACATGGGGGGGAGCGGGGGGGTTAACAAAATCTATCATTAGAGGTCACATAGACCACATGTGCTGAGGTGTTGTGCAGCAAACATGTAGTGTAGTAACTCCCTCACAGATGGTGTTATGGGGGACCTCACAGATGGCAGATGGTGGTATTATGAGGGACCTGATGTGCAGTAATTCCCTCACAGATGGTGTTATTAGGAGGCCACATGTGATGTAGTGACTCCTTCACTGATGGAGTTATAAGGGACCTCACATGGTGCTGTAATTCCCTCACAGATGGTATTATGAGGTACTACACATGGTGCAGCAATTCCCTCACAGATGGTGTTATGAAGTACTACACATGGTGCTGTAAATCCCCCACAGATGGTGTTATTAGGTACTTCACATGGTGCTGTAACTCCCTCACAGACGGTGTTATGAGGGATCTAACATAGCATTGTAGCGTCATGGGGACATCACATGGCCAGGTGTTACAGGACCTCACTCACTTAGTGGTGTACAGTCAGGTGCGGTCCCAGGCCTCCTATCATGAATGGATTAACACCGCTGCTTGTTGTTGGGTCTCATGGGCAGTTATCACTGGGTACTTGAAACCTCATTGTGTGAAGGTTAACATGGCCATGACTGTCAACTGCTACTGGTTACCATTGTTTTCACTGGCTTGAGCACTGTTCATTACTGTTCAAAACTGATTCCACTCCTTTCCGAAATTAATTGTAACTTCTGGTGAGAACTTGCTGACATTCCGGTGGTGAGGAGGGGTAGAGGGAAGGAGTTGGGGGTAGCGGCTAACAATCTAGCCCAGGTGGCCCCAGAGTCGGGCACCGAATAGGCCTTGACCCTCTGGTGGTGTGTGGCATGGCATGTTGCAAGTGTGTGTATATTTGTATGGGGGGGGGGGAGTGCATGCATGTGAATCAGCTAGTAAAGTACAGGTAAACCTCGATTTACGATCTCAATGATATTTCGCTTTAACGATGGCGATGTTTTAAGACCACTCGCGGAATATGGAATGCATCTCTCGCTGCACCCGTTAGCCACGGCGTCATATATCAGCGGCCACCCAGTGCACTACGGTCCTGTGCTTTGGTCCATGGCAATACATCTGCCTGTTATTGTGTAACTCGATGATTATTGGTCAGTATCATTGTTGTTACTATCATCAGTGTGATTTTTTCCCCTTATAGTGAGGAAGGACATCACTAACGTTGAGATTATGCTCTGTTTTGGTGACTATGAAGTGATTTTTGCTATTTTTTGGTAACTGTAAAGTGCTTTGGCTCTGTCTTTGTGAACATGATATGAGCAGTGTTGGCCGCTATCATTTTTGTTACATTCCCATCGGTGTTTTTTTCTTACTGTGAGAGGACATCACTAATGTTCAGATTGTACTATGTTTTTTCTGACTGAAGTGAGCAGTGTAACTTTTAAAAATGTCTAGCAAGTGTGTTGCTGAGGCTCCTCTGTCTGGGAAGGCCACCTACAAGAGTTCCCTTAGCCATGAAATGGGACATGTGATGACGACCAGGCATGTTCTTAATGATGTGATGAGTGTTGTTTAATTGTTTTCTATTTATTTTTATTATTGTAGGAATTATTTGTCTCTGTGATACATGTGTGTCTTGGACTGGATTTGAACGTATCCCGTTGAACCCCCCTGTTATAATGAACTCAGTTATGATATTTTGATTTGCGATGGGGTTTTCAGGAATGTAACCCTATCTTAAAGTGAGGTTTACCTGTTTTTCGTGAGTATGGCCTTGATAAATTTACAGTACTGTATGTTGGTTAGTGCCCATAGTAAACAAAGAAAATGCATAAATATGCATTTGCTTTGTGTACTGTGTTAACACCAGTGGTAGTGTAACTTGACACTGATCATTAAAAAAGTACAGTATTTCAAACAATAAATAACCCTAAAATTGAAGAATTGTGATGGAGCAAATTTGAGAAAAATTAGGTTTACACTCACAGATACTAATAAAGTTAGGGTCTTTTGTCTTCCTTATAATATGCACATTAGATGTAGCTTAGACCATTCATTCAGCAGTATCAGTCACATGACTACATTGCACAGGATGAATTAGAGGTATCACCCACATTACTGAATACTGAAACTCATGTTGTGGAAATTCGCCCATAAGGAATTTGTAAATTATGACCGCTAAATTCGGGATATGGCCCGTAAATTTGAATTTTTGGAAATGGGGGTAAATTATCAAAATTTTCAACACAAAAATTGTGATATAGAAAAAAAAGTTCGCAGACATTATAGTTTATTTGGTGTGGATTTCTTGGTGTTTGCTACCACCAAGCATGGCTATGCAATGTACCCACGCCTCTGGACTCAGTTTGTTTCTATCTCCCAGCATGTATGCTTGATCTCTCGACCCCAGTTTTTGGAGTTAACACTTATTCAAGACTGTCCAGATGAGTGGAAAGAGGCCATCAAGTGCAAGTGAAAGCAATGTTGCTAAAAGAGCCCTAAAGGAACTATGTTGGATATAAAACTTGATGTTTATGGAGTTTGATGCGAGAGAAAAACAGCCAGATTACAAAAACATATAGGGGCTTGCTTCATCTCCCAATAATTCCCATTCCACCAACTCACCTCACACACCACTCAGTATCATTTGTGGCAGTGAGTTAAATTCAAGTTTTGTGTATTTATTATCATATATCATAAAAATAATCAATGTATGTGTTTAAAAAAGTTCATTTTCTTTCATACTCATACTTTTTAAAAAAAAAGTTTTTTGAACTCATCTCCAATTATATAATGGAAGTCAATGGGAAAATGGGGTTCAAGTGACTGTCAGCTTTTCAAGGATGCTTCCTTTCCATAACCCAGGGGATTACTGTAGTTCACGTCAGCAGCAGTGTAATTTTTTTTTTTTTTTTTTTAAGCATGATGAGAGTCAAATAGATGATTCCAATACTTTGTACTTAATCGTGACTACTACACAATAGCTATTATTTACACAAAATATTGCCTCAACAACTGTAAACAATAAATTAATTTCTAATACTGTATGGCACTGTAATAATGTACAGCTTACTTTCATATAAACACAGATACTACTATACCTGTACTTACACAATGACGATTCCTCCAGGCAACCACAAGGTAAGTTAACTGACCCTGTGATCTGACACATCTCACACTTGTGCAGTTGCATTGTTTATTACCATTTTTAATTTTTAAGTTATGGCACAACATACTAAATCAAAATTTGCAATCACTCTATATGAAAGAAGTACCTAGATTAAGAATTGCTCTAAAGTGAAAGTGCTCTAAATGGAGATTTCTGTATTGTGTTAATACCCTCCGTGATTTATGTCCCGTAAAAGATCTCACGTCACACACCATGGAAATTACTTCATGTACAGATTTTGCATTTTCATATTTATCTTTATGTACATTTGCCCACAGGTATAGTGCTCCACTGTAGTCGAGATTTGTGCTAAGCGATGTGATAGATATAATATCTTTAAAGAAGGTTTGACTATGACTTCGATGTTACCACCTGTTCAGAAAGGCCACCGAGGGCGGAACACTTTACAGTACCTGTGGACAACTGTATCTGTGAAATGACGTTTATCAGATGAAACTACAAATTCATTTTGTTACTGATTATACAGTTATGATGACAGATGGGATGGTGCTGTTTCACTAAATTATGTAAATTATATCGACTGTATATATACAAGTGTACTGTAATGTATACAGTATTTTATTCCATATTTATCTTTGAGCAAAACATAAAGAATAGTTTGGGATTGTTGGTTTATAGACACCAAACTTGAACCGTTTCTTTTCATATTACATGAATATAATAATCATGAGAGATGACTGAGGGAAAGGTCTTTCATTATTGTTAGAGAGAATACTGTAGTATCTTTTTCTCCCTGGTTGTAATTAAGAGGTCATAGTTTTAAATACATTCCAACCTGCATGTTTTAGTCTGTTATATGTACAAACTGGGATATTTTAATCAACTGGTTGGCTTTTAGTCGAGATTGTGGGCTTATGATATAGTAATTTGAAAATGTGGTAGCATTAGTAGCTAATGAATACTATGTTGGTTTCCATTATTATGTTACAAATTCAGGCAGATTGTATTGCTGAAGGTGTTTGCATTTGGCCATAGTTTGCTGAACTAATATTATACCCTCTGTTTGGGTTAATATGACCTTCCAGGTCGCAGTGAGCGTGAGTGGTCTGCTCCCCCCAGCTATGACTCAGGTGGGGGGGAAGTTAACCAAGATGGGGATGGGGGTGAGCGAGGCACGGAGAGCCTTCCACACTCCCCGGCTAAAGCCTCCCCAGCCCGTGTGACTAGTGCCCCCACCAGCCCCACAGCAGCTGATGATCCAAGCCTGGCCCGCACTGTATTCCGCTCATCAAAGTGTAGGGTTAACCTGCCTCATTTGTGACTTCTTTTTTCTTGATAGTTTGCTCGAATTAATGTAAAGGTTGATTTGGTCACTTATAATGATAGTAAACTAATACAGCTTCTTATATATTCACAATGATATTCCTCCAAATTATGTTATAATGTACAGATGAACAATATTAATAATTTTAGTCATGTTATTAGTGATCATCTCACCCATTACAAATCATGAGTTTTGGAAGTTGATGACTTTCTTTTTTTGATGAAGTCTTCATGATGGGTTGTTTACTTATGCTATAATATCTTGCTTCAATATGTTAAGTAAACAAGAATGTCCCATCATTCCAAGGCTCAGAAGTTGTGTCTGGAAATCATAAAAACCTTTAATAATCATGAGAAACACTTTTAACTAATTTTGATGCTAAAGTATACACAGTATTGAATATTAGCACAGCATTTGCCAAAATAATGTGTTGCAATATGGTCATTAAAGTCTTTTATGAGAGGTGATGTCAAAGGTTGTTAGTTTGACCAAATGGTTCATAGGACAGTTTGTTTCATAAATGTGGCAAGCTGATGATGAAGTGCTGCTGAAATATTGAATGTAAACATAATTTACTTCTTAACTTTTCAAGTAAAGTATAAAATATTTTTGAGATGAACACTTTCATGGTAATACTAAATGGTTTGGTGATTAGTACACTACACTTATGCTTTGTGGATGTGGGTTAGATTTAGGCGCCATGCTGAACTTGCTAGAATGCTTCTTTATGAAAATAATATAGAGCTGGTCACTTAACCATTAATTACATGGTATTGTCACCTTGTTACTAAGAAAGTGGTGTTAATAACATTAGCATTTGCTATATTGTAATTTTTTCAGTCTAAGTTTAAGGTCTTTTGTTTATTCAAAAGTTGTGCTAAAGCTTGCATAATTTTTTTCCTTGAGTTGACATCATTAACCAGCAATCCAGACATAGCAACAGGCTGAACTATTGAAACTTCATTTTAGATGGGCTTAGTGGGATGCAGCAGCTCTATGAAGTGTGGTTTTGGGGAGTTCCAGCACCATTTGTTGGCCCTGAAACTTGCCTCTTTTTTTTTTTCTTTCAACCTCACAGACAGATCCAGCAGTTGTTTATTTATATGCTAAAATAATGGGCTTTGTGGACTAGAGGCTCAGTTTGTATTACAAATTACCACAAAAGTGCGACAATGGTTAAGCTCTCTTTCTCGCTCTTCTTATTGGTAGCTCCTTTCATTGCTTTAGTCATAATTAAATCACAAAATATTATATTTCAAACCTCATTATGTTCTTCAAATATTTGGTATATACACCACAGCCTCAACATTTGGGAGGGATAGGTTCCTGTGACATTCGCAAATGTAAAATTTTGCGAATAACATTCTTTAATACCCTACCTTTAATATCATACCTTAAATTAGGGACTGTAGGCTTTAAAAAACTCAGAGTAAAAAAACTTTACTTAAGCCCTCTAAATATTACACAGGTATGTGTACAGTACTTTCTATATACAGTTTATTGTGTGTTAAGAAAAAGAAATTAAATGAGAAAGCAAGTAAATGTGGTGTGATGATGGGAAGTCAATTGGATCACAATAGCTGTGACTTGTAGTCTGCGGTCTGTCCCACACGTCTCTTATCACTACCACTGCACCAACTACACATACACTAATGAACGCCTTTACATCAACGCTGTGAATGAAACATGCATACATACTGAATATTAGGTTTTCCTTTAACAAACGTATGACTGGGAAGAATATATAATTTATCCTAGTCATTAATGTAATATCAACATTATGGGAGCAAAATAATTAGCAGTCTTACTTATCTATATAAAGTATTTTTCTTACATCATAATGTGCGGTTGTAGAGGCCTCAGTAATGATACTGAAGATATTACTGCTCCTTTAAGACCTTTGGACTAGGATCATCAAGAATGTCCAAAGAAGGGCTGATAGGCGAGAGGCTGTATTGGTGGAATGAAGGGAAGAGGTAGGCCATGAGTGTGGGAGGGGTGAAGCAGACAACACCTGGCTTCGTTGGTGAGGAGAGAAATGGGAGTGGGGGGAGGGAGGCTGGATCTCGACTTTAAAAACATTGTGATTGGCAATTGTCTGGCTTTCTTTTTTAGTTCTTTATAGATTTCTTGGTAAGGTTGCAAAGCATTCTTGAAATTTTGTTTCACTTTGATGCTTAGCTCCATTGATGGGTCATAGTCATAATGGTTGACTCATTCACTCCAATTGCACGGCCAACAGCTGACACACTCATGATACTAGCGAGTTTATCCAACACTTAAATTTCCTGTGTAAGAGTCATCACTTTTTTCACTCTCTTTGCACCAAATGCACTACCACCAGTTAATTTCCTTTTGGGAGCCATGACAAAGTTATAATTAAAGTTAGAATTGCTCAGGAGGAAGGAGGAGGAGTAAGGATTCCCGCAGCCTGGCAAAATCAAAGACAACTCAGACGAGACGTGCAGGAGAAGATGGGAGAACACAGCAGCGTGGAAAGCAGCAAGATGCCACGACATCACACCATGGTGGATGCCCGTGGTTTTTAAAATAAGCACCATAGTTTTTTGCATTATTTCAATACAGGAGGTCCTTGCTTAACGTCGTGGTTACGTTCTTGTAAAACACAATGTTAACGGAATCAATTTTCCCCATAAGAAATAGATGAAATACACTAGTTATGTTCCCCAGTCTCCCTTTGCCCCATAAAATACATTACATATTTATAAATTCAATGGAATTTTTATCGGCAATATACTGTATATTATACATCCAAAAAGTAAATAAACTAAATAGAAGTGCCACTTCCAGCACTACCCTTAATCTTGTCTGTACTGGTCCGGATAGTACGCACTGTTGTGGGGGTTAGGCCTAATGCTTCTCCAATATACACAGCATGTTCTCCTTTCTCAAGACAGTTTAAAACCTCCATTTTTGTAGCAAGGCTGATGGTCTTGTGTTGTTTCTTCAAAACACTAGCATCACTAACACTTGATGGGCGCTTGGGAGCCATTTCGAATGGTTACAGTAAAAACACTTAAGCATGCACGTACGCGGTGGAAGCTTAACAAGACTGGGGAGAAAATGCTTGGGGATGCTGTGATGCTCCGCGAGAGAGCGTGGTGCGCCAAGATGAGAGAGGGTGGCGTGCCATACAAAGTTGTCCGTGTTGGGTGACAACATTACAGTAGGGTATGCTATAACGAATCTAATTGGTTCTAGAACCTTGTTCGTTATAGCATTCGTTCGTTATAGGGTTAATTCGTTCCAGGCCCCCAAATACAACCACTTAACACTGAAAAATACAATATAAAATTGTAAAAAAGTGCATAAATATGCATCTAAACCCCTGTAATAATGAACATCATTAATACTTGTAATAAAAAAACAATTATTAAAAAAAAAAAAAAATTAAATAATGTTCGTTGTAGGAGTTTCGTTCGTTATAGCATTCTCAATTTTATTGGTAAAACTGTTCGTTATAGGAATATTCGTAGTCGGATCCGTTCGTTATAGCATACCCCACTGTATAACGAATCGGTCGGGTCATAAAACAACATTGTCGGAATCATGGGTATCTAAAGAGTAGCAACGTTAAAATGAAACAACGTTGTCTGGGACAAAGTTAAGCAAAGACTTACTGTAGATATAAACCCCTGAGGCTCCATGCGGATAGTCGAATTCACGAAAGTTAAATTCGTATATGTTGAGGTTCTGGTTTACAATATAAAAATTAGATTTTTTTATTGTCTAAATCTGTTTACTCTGCTCCGAGACTAAGATACTGAAATATAACCTTTATTTCCCATAAAGTATATTACAGTATAAAAAAAATACATTTGAATAAGTAAATGTGTGACTGGGTATTAATGATATAAGTTTATTACTTTTCTTAACTCGCCTTGAGTGTAATGGAATTAATAATATATATATATATATATATATGTATATATATATATATATATATATATATATATATATATATATATATATATATATATATATATACACATACACACACAGTAGGGTATGCTATAACGACGTAATTGGTTCCAGAACCTGGATTCGTTATAGCGTCATTAAATATGATTAATCCCGTTCAGGCCCCCAAATACAACCACTTAACACTGAAAAATTCTTATTGAAGAAGTAACCAAAAAATGCGGTGCTTTATCTTACCTTGGTGTTGTTCAGCATGCAGGACAGGAGGCAGAGGGAAGGGGGAGGGAGAGAATTATTGAGAGGAAGAGGTGGAGAGAGGAGTCATCCTTCTAGCCTCTTTGGTGACTGTGTCTCACAGGCACTTTGTCTATATCATTCTTTTGTTATCTTTGTAAAGAAATTATCAGGGTTGGCTGCTTCAACCTTGATTTCCTGGACCTTCCAAAAGTAGTTCATAACATTGTCATTGAACACACTGATGGCCTTTTGCACAGACCAACATCAGGATGATAATCCTCCAGCAAGCTTGGACAGTTTGCACCAGCAAAGCAGCATCGCCCAGGATCTTTGGCTGGAATGATCTTGACTTTCCTCCTTGTCCTCCTCCTCCCCTGACTCCTCAAGTTAAGCTCCGGCTTCAGTTTCTCTGATTTTTCCTCTTTGTGAAGCTCAAGCAGCTCCTCAGTGGACAATTCCTTACCTTGATCTTCCACCAACTCCTCAACATCATCATCATCCACTTCAGCATGTGGGAGGAATTGCCCAGAGCCACAATTTCACCCAGACAACAGCCTCTTCTTCTGACTCTTGAGAAGCCTTCCAAAGTCTCTTTGAAGGACACAGTCAAACCTAATGGCCTCCAAGCAACCTAAAAGACACCTCACAGTAACCTCTTTCCAGGCTGAAGTAATTAAAATACAGCACTGCTATATTGAAGTGACTCTTCCAAAATTCCTTCAAGCTAACATCACTGGAAGAATGAATGTAAAAACATTTTAAGCAGTGCCTTTGTGTACAGCTTCTTAAAGT